TAACCTTGAGCAACATCCAGACCAGCTGAAGGTGAGTTTAATGGCAACTGAATCAATGCGATACGATGCGATGCGATGCGATGTTATGCGATGCGACTCATTCACGTACACACACACACACACACACACACAGACACATATTAGGACAAGTGAATGGGTGACATTTCAAGACAACTATAAAAGGAATTGTTGATTTGTATGTCAAAGGTCAAAGGAATACAGGTTAGCGATTCCCTTTGATATGGTTTCGACGTTATTTAAAGTCTATAAACATCTTTGATAAGTGCTTATGCACTGAGCTAAAATGTAACGTATATTCTATATTCTATATTCTATATTCTATATTCTATATTCTATATTCTATATTCTATATTCTATATTCTATATTCTATATTCTATATTCTATATTCTATATTCTATATTCTATATTCTATATTCTATATTCTATATTCTATATTCTATATTCTATATTCTATATTCTATATTCTATATTCTATATTCTATATTCTATATTCTATATTCTATATTCTATATTCTATATTCTATATTCTATATTCTATATTCTATATTCTATATTCTATATTCTATATTCTATATTCTATATTCTATATTCTATATTCTATATTCTATATTCTATATTCTATATTCTATATTCTATATTCTATATTCTATATTCTATATTCTATATTCTATATTCTATCATATTCTATATTCTATATTCTATATTCTATATTCTATATTCTATATTCTATATTCTATATTCTATATTCTATATTCTATATTCTATATTCTATATTCTATATTCTATATTCTATATTCTATATTCTATATTCTATATTCTATATTCTATATTCTATATTCTATATTCTATATTCTATATTCTATATTCTATATTCTATATTCTATATTCTATATTCTATATTCTATATTCTATATTCTATATTCTATAGTCTATATTACACTCTCGCTTTTCAATGTATCCTTTTATTTTGTTAGTGTGTGTGTGTGTGTGTAATGTACAGCCATCAATAAGCATAGACGTTACGACTATGGCCACGGCTGATGCCCCAATCGGGCTGCACATCTAAATCCACCTCAAATTGAATAATGAATGCAAAGTGACTGAGTGGCCGCCATTGGTGCTACCGCCCATTGCTATCGCTGCTCAATGAAATGCATTAAATCAGGGTATCGTTGAAAGCAACTTCTGGTCGCGAGAGTCTAGCTGCAGCCCCAGCCCCTCGTCAAGTGGAATACAAGCAATAGCAGCAACAATGACTGCATCACGGTGCAATTGGACAGGTGCCCCAAAAAGCAGGGTACGAAATTTTAATTCACGAACTGTGAGCGACGCAACGTTTCGTGTTGCTGCCCCACCCATCCATTCGCACTCCTTTGACCAACCCTCGCTGTGCTGTAAACATCAATTACGCCGCCCCCAAAACTATTCACGCGATTAGCCGCGTTTTCTAGTTATTGGGTAATAGCCATTGCCACTTGCCGCTTTTTGGTAGCTTGGCCAATTGGTGGTTCGGGGCTTGAGGGAAGTGTCCTTCTAGACATATAGGCGCAAGCGAATTTCAGAGTTACGCTGAATTGAATTAACGGGTCCGGCTGTGCCGTGGCTAGCTGTAAATTTACAACGGTGCATCTGATAAACGTGGCTGTGCCGACATGCGGGCCCATAAAAAGGCTGAGCCAGTGAGTCAGCAGCCGTCGGGGCCTAAGAGTTATTTCAAATGTTGAAAACTGAGCGAAAAACACAGCGAAATGTAAAACAGACAACGTAAGCGACTCTCTTTACGTGTGTGTGTGTGCATGTTTGTGCACTTGGTGTGCGTGTGTAAATTTGCTGTGCTGTGCTGTGCTGTGCTTCTGGCCTGGTCTTAAAAGCGAAAAGCCATTTGTATTCATTTGAAATTAATTTAGCATTCATGCAAGGCACAAGACGCGCCAGCCGCAAGAGACGCAACATCAGCAGCAGCACCAGCAGCGATAGAGGGGCGGGGTGGACAAAAGGGGGGTTGGGGTGCAGCGAGAGCGAAGGGCCCCAGTATCTGGAGCAGTGGCTTGGGCAATATATGGCGCCTAAAGCTGAGCGGCAGAGCTAAGCAATGGATAAATACGTGTACGTGGCATACATTTGCGAGCAATACAAAAGACGAGCCAAACAATTTGCTCCTAGACCCGTCGTCCTTTGCGCCTTTGCTTATCGATAAGCAGTTGACGGCTCCACACTCCGCCCCCACCCCCGGGCACTTTGCACTGCGGAAACTAGCTAGGCTGGCTGCCGCCACGCTCGAGCCTCGAGCCTCGAGACGTGCGCCTGCTCCACTAATTTTAACAAATTAATTGGCAACAATAAATTTACTTGCAAAAAGGTGCGCAGATAGCATCGCCCATAGGTTCTGCAGCAATTGGAATGTGATAGGGAGCCGTGGGTGGGGGGAGCAGCTATAGATTGCTTCACTAATTTGATTCGCTCAATGACAGACACTTAAGCACCGTTATACACCTAATATATATCAGACACCCACCAGAGCTAAAAGGCATGCGGCGCACGCTATTTCTCGGTAAAGCAAGATTAAGTTTCCTGGGAGAGAAGTGGTAGAATCCCTGTCTGCATTTTAATTTCTTAATTAAATGGTTTTATTACAATAAATCTCAAATATTAGGAGAATAGGTATGTATATGTTCCATGTACAGATTTTATATTTTAAACTGTTCAAATACGTTCTTCTGTTCTAGGCAGTTAATACAGTCTCTTTTATTATTATACTATCTTAGGAATTTCCAAGAAGAGTTTCATTTGAAATTTTCTAGAGTTTTAGTTCTTAATGATTTTATTCATTGGATATTTCATATAACGATTTATAACATATATTTATAGATTGAAACAATATACCATCTAAAATATTTTTGAGAGCAAATAGTAAAATATATTTGTCACTCTACGATACGTATGTACATATTGAAGACAATCATACATTATTTGACAAATAATCCATATGCAAATACATTAAGTTTCGTACGATGCTTCGAATAGAAAGTTTAACAAACTTACGAAGGCGTCAAGGCTTCTAGGAAAACTTTTGAAAACTTAGATTTTAGCAACTATCACGAAAATACCAAGAAAATGAACATAATCAACCAAACTTGTTGATGGAAAATCCCTTTGATTAGATGTCTTGATTTCTTTTATTATATCTGAAAAAAGAAGAAAAGAATATGAAAAGAAAACAATACAACAACACAAAGATGGCTTGAGGTGTAGCTTAGCATAAGACGCTATAGAAAGCTTGGCATGTAGTCAGATTAAACTAAATTCCTTATGGACTGGCCAGGGCTTGTAAAGCAAGCAAAGCTGTGTAAGTTGCAAACATTTATTTTCTTTTATTCCTTACGAACTGTTGACCACATCTAAAGCACCTATCTGCGACATCAAAGTTGATAATGTGTGTAGAAAACATTTTTATTTACGCAGTGGCCACAACAATCAAAAATGCCAAAAATAGTTGCTTTTGTAAACAGCAGTCTTTGTCCTATCTCTCTCTCTGTCTCTCTGTCTGTCTCCCTCTCCCACTCCCTCTATATAGATATACATATACTTTTATTTAAATTTATGTATATTTATATATATTTGCTTATTAGTCCTATATATAGCCATCTATATATTTATATTTATTTATTCTATTCAGCTTGGGAAATTCGCAATGAAACTGCGAACTTGAAATGCTTGAGTGCTCTTATTGTCCGCTAGGTGTCGCACTTTGGCATTTATGCATTGTTCTGCCCACAAGCAAAAATTTACATTCAGCCGCCGCGTACATAGCGTTTTTCTAGTCAAGCACTCTCGACCGAAAATTTGGGCACTTTATTTATTAGGCTGTAAGCCCCGGCCGTTGAAATGCTCCGCCGACTTGCCCTGCCCTTCAGGCCGGCGAGGGCCGACCCCAGCATGGCTCAGATGTAAAGCCAGGCGCTCATCGCGTCCCTCAGCTGTCCGGCCATGTTGTGTGGGTATATTTTGGACGGCTCGTTGCGGGTGTAGGAGGCTACGAGGATACGCTTTCGACAGCAACATTTGCAGGCAATAACACGCAACATTTGACACGGTAGGCCGAGTAGACCGCAGCAGCAGAAGCGCCACCTGTGCATTGCAGGTGCTCACTAGGGGCAGGGGAGGGGCAGGTGTCGGAATGGCCTCACAAATCTTTCATGACTGCGACGCGTGTACATAAACTCAAATTGGCCTATAACTGTCTGTTCAATTGTTTTTGTCGCATGCGACGAGGACATGGGTCGGGGGACGCGTCGGCGGGCCTTGCATACCTACATATTGCGGTAAAAATCACATTTCTGTGGGCTAGCGTAAATCATTCATGTGCGTTGCAAAGCCCCCAAATGTCGACTATATTAATATGCCAAAACGAAGACATGTATACGGCGAATATTCATTTGTACGTGACTATTGAGCACGTTGCTCTCGGGTCCGCATTCCGAGTGCCAGCCCAGCCGATGCCATGCGATGCGATGCGATCCGATGCGATGTGATGCGACGTCGCGACGGGACGAATTGAGTCGAGTTGAGGCAGGTTGTGCTAATAACCCAGTTAACCTTAGAATCGTGGCCACACACTCTCTATTTCAATACTCTCTCCGTCTCTCTATCTCTCTTTCTCTCTCCCCCTATCCGTTGCTCGCTTTACCACCTGCAACAAAGTCAACCCCTTTGCCAGAGCTTTAAAGTTGGGCGAAATGTGTTGTTTTTTTGCCCACTTTGGTGCTTATTAAAAATGTAGAGAAAAACACAAATTAAAGTTTCATCCTCTCACTCTCTCTCTCTGTCTCTCTCACTATCTCTCGTTTGTGCTCGACGCGACTGCGCTGTTCGCTCTCGGCGCCAGCGGCGCTCGTGAACGATGCTTCGGCTCGCATTCGGCTGTTTGTTGCTCTCGGCTAAGGTAGACAACGACACGCGCTGGCTGCTTGCCTGTCTGATGAATCAGTTCCAATACGTGAATCCTGCCGCTAGGATGCACGCTTACGCACGGTCGTTGCATTCGTAGCTTATATTGTGGCACATTTAAAATAAAACAAATAAGAAGGGAGAGGGGAAAAAATCAGCTTAAGCATAAAGGAAAATAAAGTACAACAACAGCTATTTAATAACTGTATTCCCAGTCAAACCAACAACAACAATAAGAACACGAACGTTCATCACGTACGAGACGGATACACAAAAATGCGAAGCTCACGCGCGCGTGTGTGTGTTGTGAGTGTGTATGTGTGCGAGTGAGATTGTGAGTGATTGTATCGGTGTGTGTAGTGCTTATATGGCATACCTATAGAGCTGTACCTAATATGCCCATGCATACATATACATACAAATAAAATAACACAAAGGCAACGTTGTCGTCGCTCACCTCGTCTCTCCGTCTCTGTTCCCCGCTCCCTGCCCGCCGCTCTCCACTCACCGCTCACCGCTCCCCGCGCGTACTCGCGTCCGTGCTGATTGTCGTTGGTCGAGTGCTAAACGGAAATATTTGGTAGTCCAGACTATTGCCAGAGAAAATACATATTTATAAAAAAGCAACCGAATAATAAAAGCAGAACGTAAAAGAAGAACACAAACGTTGAGCCGGAGAAAGCAACAATGCCAGTCCAAATGAGCGGCAATTGAAGCGAGAAATGTGTGCACACGTAAACGTCGAGTTTCCAGTAATTATTCCGCATTGCGCAATCGATTGTCAAAATAAATCAACTCTACACAAAAAATAGAATTCTGAATTGGGCTGGAAAATGGCACCGGGACAAAAGCAATGCCAGGAATATCCAAAGATCAGGTAATTTATTTCCAAATCTTTCATTTGGAAAAAAAAAAAACAACACCTAATTCAATTTAAAACACGTTTTAATTAATTGTTGGAAATATATAAAATATATAAAACATGTACTAATACGTTTATTCGATAAAACGAGGAGTTTAAATAAAATGTACTTGAACTTGATAATATAGAGAAACTTTTAATCAAAAGAATATTATATTATAGAACAATATATATTATAAAATAATATATAATATATATGAAAATAAATTATATGGTTTTTAAAAAAATATATTTGAAAACGTAAACGTGCGATGAAAATAGGACCCCAGAGTTATAATAGAGCAAATAGAAGCTCGGATGTTTTCTAAAAAATATATACATATATATATATATATATATATATATATATATATATATATATATATATATATAAATTTTTTTTTTCAATATTCTATATAATATACAGTCTTTTATGTCCAAAGAAGATGATACAGCTGCTCGCAATTTCTTTAGAGGATCATCAAAGAACATCTAGAGAGCTAGCAAAAACGAAACATAAAATGGACAATACACGACTTTTAAAGAAATAATAGCTGCGCATATTTTGAAAAAATTCTACACCATATGGTGTCTAGATTGTAAAGAGCTCCCTTTTGCGTGTGACATTGACAGATATGCGGTTTTCAAATGCCGTTCAGAATTGTAGCTTAGCGGCTGTCCGGACCTGACGTTTGTTTGTTTGATTTCCATGGAAAACTGACGATTCAGGCCTCGGGCGATAATTCTTTATAATAGCAGCGCAAAATGCTCATGCAAAAAAGGGACAGCGGTCAGAGGCGCAAACACATAAATACAAATACACCCACACACACCCACAGATACACTGAGGCTCGTAAATATATATATTTTAAGCGGGGTTCTGACCAAAACAAATAGCGGGCCACACGAACCCCTTGACCCGAGTCACGCAGCTAATTGGACTGACAACAAATATATATGTGTGTGTGTCTGCATACATACAAACGTATATTCACATATATATTCAGTTTTGAGTTATGGCCCCGGATTATGAATATTTTCCCGTGCTAAATATATTTTCATGGAACTTTAGTACTTCTGCGTTCTCCGCTTGCACCGTCGCAGCTGGAGAGAAAAAATTGTTCGCCTGTTCCTTAGCTCTCAATGGTTGGGTGAAATAGCTATATGGCCATAATATTCCATCATAAATTGTACACGTAATTTATAACAAATACACTGAATATTACGAGTACTTGCCTGCTGGAGAAATGAGTATTAAAGCGTATAAATAAGCACTAACTTGGTGATAAAGCTGGCTCGTTTATCTAAGAGCCGTACGCTGAACCATGCAACTCCCCGAAATAGTAATTACAATAAATTATTCTATTAAGCACTAGCTGCGGCCCAGCACCAGCTGGAGCTCGAGTAGCCCTCGTTTATTCAATTGCCCTGAAATTGGGGAACATTCGCAATTTCATTTCTAATTCAATCTGGCTTTCGAAATGTGTGTGAAGGATATTCAAGTTACAAATTCGAAATTCGATAAAGGGGATTTTACATCAGCAATGCGTAATCTGTTATTAGCATTTACTGTTCACAAGCTATCTAATTTGAGATTAAAAGCATTTCAAATAGCCCATTATTAATTTGCTCAATCTGGTTTGCCATAGAATTTTACGTTTAAACTTAATGTGGGTTTCTAGGAACTTCATTTATATATCATATTAAAATGTATTCTCTTTCCGAATCTATTCCGAGAATCCTCCATGTCTATTATAAAATATTTATTAATTAAAAAGTAAAAAGAGACATCTAAAATGGAAAACATTTGCATAAGTTTTCAAGTAAGTCAAAATTGAAACCAAAATCCAGAAAAGGTTCGTTTATTTTTGTACTTTTCAGAGCTGGTCCAAGTTTGTAGCTCAGCCATTTTTATAGCTCTTGACGCTGCGTATTGCAAAATGTGTGCCTTTAGCTAATCAAATGAAATGGCTGAAAACCTACTCAAATATAATTTGATTCCTCATTTAAAGATAATCAAGCATATTGCTAATTTTGCGTGGTGTATTTCATGATCCACTGGTGCGATGTCATGCAAATGTAATCTATTTATTGTTTTCGGATCAAATGAATTGTGTTAATAATAGTATATGGGAGTTTAGAGACATGAGAGCTTAGAATTATTGATGACATTTCGGGAGACTGATATAAAGTGCATTAAAATAAGTAAATGTGTGGTTGACCAGATCAAAGTGCGTTGATTACTCCAACTGACACATTTTTGCGCCAGAAACCCCAATAAATATAATCTCTAATCCCTACATATTCATTGATGCCATAAGTATAATATATGTGATATTCAGTGAGTTAAGTATTACATACTTAGAGTCCTTAGTACATATTGTAATGGCAAGTCAACAATTTATTTTGTATTCTTCTTCCAGACTCGCACAGCTTAGGTCTCGTTGTTAAAGCCACATTAAAGGTCAGAGCAGACAGCAACACTAATAAAGCAAAGGAAAATCAGCTGCCAGAGTTCATCGATCAACGTGAATTATGTCGCAGGACATGAAATTCAGTTGGGGTCCCACCCTCGGAGTGCTTTGGGTATCACAACTGTGGCTGCTGCTGCTGCTGTTTGGTAAGTTTCTAGGATCAAGATGCCAGTGACATGGCATTTAAATCGACACGAAGTAGCATGAGCTCATAATACTGCTGTTTATTTTATATAAACATACATATATATATATATCCATATATACCCTGTGCACACTGCGCAAAGTGTCGATTGGCTAGTGTAGGCAGTTTGTTCAGCTGCATGTATTTGCTTTTGTATTTGTCGAACTTTAGATCAGATAAAGTGTTAAATATGGCGGGGCACGCCCCTTTGCGGTTCACAAGTGATTCACAACCTTTCCAGGGCTAGGGTCACGAAATATGTTTTGTTGGCTTACTAATTTCCTCGTTTGAATGCAAAGCTAACAACCTTTCGCTCGCACGCACTCGCGCGCTCACGCAAATCGCATAAATCTATATTAGCTGCAGTTTGAAAGACACCGTCACAGGTTGAGAGTCACAGGATAATAAAAGAATTTGCCAAATGCTTTATGGGCTTTGCCTAACAAGGCTGTTAAGTGATTTTGGGCTTAGCTTGACAATTTTGCTGTGGCCCATTAGAAATTTCATTTTGGCAGCGAGCTGAATAGCAAATGGCAAATGGCTTTGGGTATGGAAAAAAGCGTAGCATACTTTCCGGCACCTCGACATTTTGCTTTGTGCACAGAGTATGGCGCCGTCGTTTTCTTTTTAACGACAGCCTTCTTAATTATTTTTCTTGTTATTTTTATTACTACACAGAGAGCGGCCTGGTCATCAGCGAAGTGCCTCCACATTACTGGGAAACCCCATACTCCCAGCCGTATTTTGATAACTCCTCGCGACGCGAGGTCACGGCGACCGTGGGGCAGGCGGCGCTGCTGCATTGCCGCGTGCGGAATCTGGGCGACCGGGCGGTAAGTTGAACGATGTTTGGGGTCAAGCCAGGGGCACGCAATTAAAATGCGCCCAGAGTCAAAGCCAAACATTATATATGTATGCATGGCGCACAGACTGTGGGACAGGGACCGCGCCTACAGAGGGACAGGGACAGGGCAGACAAACGACCTGCGGCGAGCGCCTGGCAGATTTGTAGATTACTTTTAAAAGATTACGCCATAAAGTTGGTGGTCTAACCACCGCAGCCCCCAGCCCCCAGTCCCCACCGAGCCCACAACCCACAGCCCTAACTCTGCTGACTGACTATACCCGTCTCACTCATTCGAAGTAACCAGTACTCTTTCTTTCTCTCTCTCCCTCACACGCACTCTTTATTTTCTTTGTCCCTTTCTCTGTCGCTCTGTTTTGCTGTCTCGCTTGTTGGTTTGTTCTTCCGTTGTTTCTTGCTCTGGTTCGCGCATTTGTAACACGGCTTCGCTTCCGCTCTCAGCGATTTGTTAGCAAATGCAACAACAGGCGCTTCCTCCAGCTAACCTCATCCAGCCACGCCTCCTGCTGCTACCACATTGGTTGCTACCTCAAAAGCGCTGTGGCTGTGCAATTATGCGGTGTAATAAATTTTGTGCTGTCCGTGTTTTGTCCCGACCCGCTCATCTCCGCTCCGTTGCCCCGTTGCCCCGCTGCCCTTTGACCCCAACGACAGCGCTGTCAGCGAGTGCGTTCTGTGTGTGGGCCAACTTTGCGCCCAGACAGTTGAATTGAGTAATTAACGCTTCGAACTGCAAGACAAACCGAGTCTGACAGACAATCAGCCAGTCATTCAGCCATTCATTCATTCAACCATCCAGCTAGTTAGTCAGCGAGTCAGCTGTTCAGCCATTCAGCTAGTTGACAACGTGTTTTTAATCCTCGACAAAGACAAACGCATTGTCACGTCTTATATGCAGCTAATTGGAGGCGAACGCACACAACTGCGTGTCAATCACAGCTGCGATCAGAGATAGAGAACACAGGAAAGTACAGTTGCTGACAAAGATTAAATGTGCTGTCACTTAAAGAGGAGTTAGGTATACCAAAAAGTGTTTTTAAACAAATAATTCCAAATGAAATGCCAATTAAACAGAACTTCGTAAACACTGTTCCCAGATTCCCCATGTTTAAACTAAAAAGGGCTATAGGAAAAGTCTTATTTAATATTTCATAGTACCAAAAAGCAATTACGGTACGCTTAAATATTCTTTTGGAGCAACATAATAGTTCACATTCATAAATGTTCTATTAAATTTCTTAATTAAAACAAATGCCAATGCGCAATATTCATGAATTTATTCAGAACGGCTTATGACTATTCACAATTGCTGGGCAACATTTGCCAACAAGACTTATAGTTTATCCTTTCGCTCCTGACGTTTATTTTAGTTGTTGGTTTAATTTTTTGCATTCAGTAAAAGGGGTTAAAACAAATGTACAAAGTTTTTAATTTTTTTTTCCTTTTCCAAAGTTGCCAAAGTTGAAATCGGTTTAAGGAACTTGAAACTATGGCTTAAATTCAATTTGTTGAGTTTCAGTTAAAACAAATGGAAGCACAGGTCGCAACATTTTCCCTTTGATTTAGTTTGGGGTAATTGGCTGAGTTTAGTTATAGAGCCCCTCAGTTCATAGGGGTCTTAAGTTGTCGGGATTGAAGTCGCGTTTGTAAGGCCCTAAAGTTTGCATAAGTAGCAACTCAAAATAATTATTTTGTGCCCAGATTGTTTATTCTGTTTGCAAATCATTATTGACTGCAAAAAATATATACATTTATATTTGCAAGCTTATAAAAAGGTTCTTACTTGGTATTTAAATAGGGAGCTATACATACACATTTTTCCTAGCGAGTTTCCTTAGAGCACTCCACTCTTTTGCTGCCATTAATTAACGATTTACTTAATCTCCCTTTTGAATAGAGGTAAAAAAATAGTACGAGCAACCCCACAGGAAGCTTAAGTGCCGGAGTCTGTGAACAGTTAATTATACGTATATATATAAGACAACATTATATGAATAATCGGCTTAGCTCAAGCTGGATTCAATAGTGCTTACAATTTTGAATTGCCTTTTGTTTGAATGTTAAATGAGTTTTCATTTCGTGGGCGCTTCCTTTATTTCCTCTGCTTCCTTTCCTGTGCAGGTGTCATGGATACGCAAGCGGGACCTGCATATTTTAACCGTGGGCATATTGACCTATACGAACGATCAGCGCTTTCAGTCGCTGCACTCGGAAGGCTCCGACGAGTGGACGTTGCGCATATCTTCACCCCAGCCCCGGGACTCTGGCACCTACGAGTGCCAGGTATCCACAGAGCCGAAAATCAGTCAAGGATTTCGCTTGAATGTTGTGGGTAAGTAGCTATGCGGGTGTGTGTGTGTGTGTGTGTAAGCCCTTTACTTTTAAGCACGGGAGCAATTATTTGTATTGTGCGGTTTTTTACAGTGTCGCGCGCTAAAATTCTTGGCAATGCGGAGCTGTTCATCAAGAGCGGCAGCGACATTAATCTCACCTGCCTGGCGATGCAGTCGCCGGTGCCGCCGTCGTTTATCTACTGGTATAAAGGCAAGCGGGTCATGAATTATTCGCAGCGCGGGGGCATTAATGTCATCACCGAGCGCTCGACGCGGACCAGCAAGCTGCTGATAGCCAAGGCCACGTCCGCCGATTCCGGCAACTACACGTGCTCGCCAAGTAGCTCAGGTGAGTTGTCTCCGCCAAGCTGCGGTGACTGTCATTTCCCTATCCACGCTGTCCTCTCCCTCTCATTCTTCCTCCTCTCTCTTTCTCTCTCTCTCTGTCTTTGTGCCTGTTTCTGGCTCTCCTCGCTTTCAACATCTTCATCTTCATCTAGTTTAGCACCAACGTCCTTATCCGCCTGTCTGAGTGTCTGTATGTCAGTTGCAAGTCTCGTTCTATGCCCGCTGGCAATTAATGTAACGTCGCTTGCCAACGGCATTTCCAGCACAACCAACACAAGCAGCACAGCCACCTCGTGTCGCCTCACCACCCTCGCTCCCTAGAGATGCGCACGTGTCGCTTTTTTATGGCAGGTCACAAACATAAAGATGGGTACGTGCAAAGGTCGTGCTTAGGTTACATTCTGCTCGCTTTTGATATGTGTGGCATTCGTGCCGAGTCGGGTTTAAGTCGTATTATACCTTGTTGAGTCGTGTGAGTTTTGATTCGCGCTTTGCCATCTGTTCAATGTCCTGATATTTGAGATAAATTTGCCTGCTTCTAAGTTGTTTTCTTTCGTGTTAAGCATTCTCGTATGAGCTCACTTTGACGCGCATTATCTCGTGCTGAGTTGCAAGAAAATTGTCACAGATTGCATTTAGTTGAAGTCTTATTTTGTCAGCTCAACAAATTAGATTTATCAGCTTATTGTAAGTAAAGTGAGCGATACAGAGACTCATATTTGCCCTCTCTTGTGTTGCACTAAGCGGCACGAACACGTTATGAAAATAGTTTTTTTTAGCACATAGACATCGTGGGGAAGTGTTACCACCAGGCGTCATTCATGCTCTCGCGCCTCCCATCCTCACGTTGCACTCTCCTTTAACAGCATCTTTGTGTGTTTTACTTTATGTCCTCATCTTATGCTGAACCTATGTACAGACTCCGCCTCGGTGGTGGTGCACGTCATAAACGGCGAGCATCCGGCTGCGATGCAGCATGGCAACAGCAGCGCCAGCTCCTTGCGCTCGATGTGGAGCCCAGTGCCTTTACTAGCCATCACAACGACGACAGCTGCGGTGGCTGTCACATGGAACTGGAACTTAAACTGGAACTGGAACTGGAGCAGCGGCGGTTGCTTTGTGGCATCAACCGCACTGTTGCCGGCGGCGCTTGCCAAGTGGTGTTGGAGCAGAAGTTGGAGCCTGAGCTGATGGTGGAGCAGCTGTTGCGGCGCATTAAATGACAGCAGCCCCGGCCTAGTTGGGGCAGTTGCACTTATCTTCTGTTTAGTGTTAATGATGATGCATTTAATGTGTGTGTATGTGTGTGCTAGCAGCTCGATGCGGTTCATCAACTGAAAAGGTGTGTACATAATGCAAAAGTCCTTTAACGAGTATTATCTTTAAGAAATCCAAATACGATATGCCAGTCAAGTTGACTTAAAAAAAGTATTAAGATGCAACATTTTTAAAACGAATAAGCCCGAAGCTAAGTTCTAAGATTGCATTCATCCATTGCATATAATCCAGAAATGAAAGTCTTTCATTTTTCATTTTTAATTTTGGCAAATATAGAAAACAATTTCCATTATTACTTTTCTGATCCAGCTTGCTAAGAATTAATACATAAACAATGTTGGAAATACAAGCTTATGTTACAACAAAATAAAATATGAACGAAAAAACGAAAAACAAAAACAACAAAAGAGAAAGGAAAACTTGTTCGAGCGCGCCCCATGAAGTGTGCAGTAAAAAGTTTGCAAATTTGAGTTAAAAGCGTTTTATGTTCCAGCTCAGCTTTTGTGCGACTTTTGTATACAAAACTCAACTGTAATTCTTTGTCATAATATATAGTAAAAATACATACATATATAACAATTCAGCTCACAGCAAAGTCCAGCCAAATTACACGCAATTTAATTTTGATTTTCCTTTTGGATCTAGGCATAATAGCAACATTAATACTGAAATAATAAATGTAATGAATCGTGCGGCCAGCTACTGTGTATATAGTATAAATATTTGTTGTTTATCGGCTTGCATCATTCATTATTTGAATAAAACTATTGCATAATAACACAAGCACACAAATTCCAAAAAAAAAAAATAAAAAATAAATAAATAAAGAAAAGATAATCCTACTACAAAATGAACCACAATAATAACGATATTTAAGTGTTCTTTTGATTATTATTTATTTATTATAATTATTATTATTATTATTATTTTTTTTTTTGGAAAATACGAAATGAAAATTTACAAATATTTCAAATCTGTGTATATCTATAAGATCTTGTCTGGTTGTCTGCCATCAAGCTCTGTGTAGTCCATCAACGTGTAAAATAGTTATAAAATTGATGATTAATAACTGTAAATTTAGTGCTCGATTTTAAGCGGTCTTGATAAGACTTTTAAGCGACAACTTTCAAATCACAAAAAAAAAAAAAAAAAAAAAAAACCAAAATTGATTAAATATAATAAATAAATAATGTTTTCTGTTTAAATACAAAAAAAAAAAAAAAAAAAAAGAAATAAGAATAATTAAATGAATAATGTTTTCCCATAATAAAAGTATGGTTATGGTTAAAATATAAATGCAAATGTTTGGATTTTAGGTGCTTAGGCAAAAGAAAATTCAATATGGGAGATAAGCTTTGGATGCTCTTAAGCAAAGCTGCCCTAAGATGAACGCTAAGAAAAAGGGAGAGTCAGATGCAGCAGCAGCTATAGCAACTCACCTGCATATGTGTGTGTGTGTGTCGCACACAAATGTATTTAAGTGCTGCGTGCGTCAAAACGCCTTTGTTATTTGCCACAGAGCAATTACAAAAAGCACTCATCATAAGAGTTTATACTCAACCGAGTTTAAGCTCCTCACTATGGACGATACACGCTTACGTGGAAATTTCAACTCGACAAATTTCACACTCAATAGTGGAAGCCGCTTAGTTTTGCTAAGCCGCTGTGCTGTGCTGACTGCACAAAGCGAATTTTGTGGGTGCGCTTCAAATGGAGGTAAGTTGGCAACAAGATGTGTGCCAGATGGCACTATTAGCCAGAGTTAAATAATATATTAATAGGTAACATTGGCAAATTGAGTTAAAGCCGGGAATTTGTGTGCCTTTCAGGCGGCATTAATTTGCGGCCTTATGATCGATGCTAACGAGCAAAAAACGGAGCGTATTATTTATCCTATTATGTCAATATTTAATTAACTAGCCAAATGCGCGAGTTTGGCACGCCTTTTCAGTTCGATCCTCTTCATTATGTATACGATATATAGCGCATGCTATTCGCCCCCAAAAAGCCGACAGTTTTTGCGGCTGAAGTGCACCCGAAATGAAAGACTAATTAAGCGGCTTATTTGTGCGTATTAATAGACCAACTTGTGGTCGGCTTGTGTGTAAGCGATTGCATATGTGTGTGTGTGTGTCTGCGGGTATGTGTGTGTCTGTGTGTGTGGGTCAACAGCTACCATAACAATAAAAATAAGAGCAACAAACATCGCTGGCCATAGCTCTGACCATTTATTTATATTTCGATTTAAAAATAGCAAACACACAAATGGACTTATAAAACTCTCTGGCAGCTTACGTGCCGGTGCCGCAGGGGAAGTCACAGAAAAATACAGAATGAGAAGAAGCAGAAGAAGAAGAGAGAGGGAGAGGGGGGCGGCAAATACAAAATACAAAAAGCAGAGCACAACAAGAAAATGAAATCAAAAAATAAAGAAAAAATAGAAAAGGGTGCAGAAGTCAAAAGGAAATAAATGGCTTTTCAAGTCTTATTTACTCGAGAGAGCAGTGTGTGTGTGTGTGTGTGTGTGTGTGTGTGTAGGGGCAGAGCGTCGAAGGGTAATACCGAACGGAATCAATGTAAAGGTCACAATTTATTCAATTGCCCTGGCCAAGATATTTTTATAGCGTGTTCATGCGCCAAGGTCCAGACCTAATCCCAAATCACAACGGAATTACAGACTGGTAATGGGTATGTAGCGGATGAGGCACCGGAATAGCGAGCGGCTGGGTTCAAGAATCCAGCGTATAATGGCCAATTGATAGCCAAAAGGCATTAGCACGCCAGAGCGAAATTCCCCTGGCTAAAAGTCCGCAACCCGCCGCAGCCGCACACCGGGCCCACAGTTCTGCTGACTCAAAGAGAGGAAATTTTTCGCAAACTCACTGAGAGACACAAAATATTAAGTTCAAATGTAGCAGAAATCCAAAGTACGTGCCATGCAGTAGTAAACAGCAGCAGCCGCTTGACTCCAGAAGCCCAACCCAAAGCACCACAAGCTCCGGCTCAAACCTTGGCCATGTTTAGGTGTGGCTTATGAGCGTGTGCTTGCGTGCTTGTATGTGTGTATGGGTGCGTGCGTGTCTCTCTATGTGTGCGTGAGCTGAAAATCACGTCTTATTCAATGCGTTGCTTTGAAAATTTATTGAGGGATAGGTCAGAATATTCATATATCGATATTTCTCTGCTTTATAGATGCATTTCATTTTTGTTATTTTTTCCATTTTTATAAAATTTAATAAAAAATTGCTGCCAACCATTGAGACGGAGACAAATGATGGCCAGCGCGTTGCCACGACTACGTAATGGCCAAGGTAATCCAAAGCTGAAGTTGAAGCTGAGCAGGTCGGCCCTGCGCCTCGCGCCCGGCGCCAGCAAGCACTTAAAGCTATTAAATATTTTATGATATATTCCCATATATATACACATTTATATATATATATATAAATATATATATTTGGACATTGAGAAAGAGAACGCATGAGGCTTGGGCCAAGTTAATGGCTTAGAATGGAATAAAACGAATAACGAACGTCGCAATGGGCATATTTATGAAATTTTTATCATCATTTTTCAAAAAGCCAGCCAAGAATGCAACAACAAGATTCGACACATTTCGGGTGCTCTGCCCCTGCATCGAGTTCCATAAATACCAACATATTTGCTTGCTTTTGAGCGGCAGCAACAGCCCCACTTGGCAGAGCAGCAACTAACCGCAATATTGGCTACGCAGTGTATGTAAGCAAATTTTGAAGATGTATACATATATATATCTGTGTATATAGTATATGTATATGTATGTATATATGTAGTATTATTTACCCTGTAAGCACTAAGTGCATAATTGCTTGAAAGATGTATTCAATGGAAACTCAAGTTTCTATATACTACATTCTTTGAGTTCCTATGGCGTCTTTTAGTCAATGGAACACTCAGCTGGGTTAGGCTCTTACTTGTCATGAAGTCTTCAAGTGATGCTAGTTAAGGTCATACTCAAAATTAAATACAAAATGTGAGAAAATACCAAGTATGGAGTAAAAAAACCTTAAGTAAAATGGATATAAAAATAATATACAAATAATAATTTTAATAAAAATCTCAACTTATCATCAGAATCAAAAGTCGCATATACCCCACATAGAAGCAGCGCGTTTGCTGGGTATATGCATTTAGAAAAATGAAATAAAATGGAAATTGTTTAAACGCATGGAAAGTGCTTGTGGGATGTGCGCATAATGTTTCTTGAGCTACTTACGGATGAGGGGGCGACAGACGACAGACGAGAGAGGAAAGAGGAGAGAGGATAGACGACAGACGCCAGACGGCAGAGGACATAGGACTTGGGAGAGGGGACATGCGACGGTGCATAGAGAGCAGAGGCCATTGGCAAAGAGTTTGGTAAAGAGTTACAGCTTAGAGCATGGTCATAAAAAGGTGGGTTGTGGATGAGCCTTAGCTAAGACAGCAACCAATGGGAGAAACAGCATTCGGAAGGAGAGTGAAAGAAATCGAAATTGTGCAAGTGCATGGAAATTGCTAATCGGATGTGCAAGAAATGCTCTGAAACGAGTTGGCGCCCATAGAGAGACAATGGGGACGTGCGAGAGAAGGATTTGGCAGCAGCTAAGACCACAACCAAATGAAAATTGCTTAAGCCAATTGCATGGAAAGTGAGCAACGGATGTGCCAAAAGCCATTGCGACAGTTAACAAGGCTTTAAGACAGCTCACAATACACGAGCCGGCAAAAGTTGAATAAGCCAGATATCAGATTACTTGAGATACCATACGAAACATGCGTGACTGAGTGTGCGTGGGTGTGTGTGTCTGCGTGTGTGTGTGTGTGTGTGTGTCTGTGTGTGTGTGTGTGTGTGTTTGTGTGTGTGTGTGTGTGTGTGTGTGTGTGTGTAAGCAGCTTGTGACAATCAAGTTAATCGCTCGGCCCTTCTGACAACTACTCGAAGTGAAAGTATTTTCTTTCGAACTGATTTTTTGTATGTAATTTTTGTTATTATATTATCGATAAATACTTGCAAATGAATTAGAGCTTGGTTAAGAAATCTATCAGACATTCTGATTTACCGCCAGGCTCACATATCCTTTCGAAATGCTGAATTAAGCAACAGAAGTTTCAGTGGATTTTGATTTGCTAAGTAAAGGATCTTGAAACTTAGAATTGGATTCTATGAAGGCTTTTTTATAAAAGTTGGTGCAAAATCATAGCGAGTGACCTACCTGCTCAACTATGACACGCTATGAAATTATGAATTATGAAATTA